TAAAAGTATAGTAATATTGTTCGAATAAGTGCAAAAAATGGAACCTTTCAATTTCAAAATGATTATCTTTTACATTTCGTAAACCTTTTTTTTTTTTTCCACACGTTTTTATCAGTTCTCTCTAATTCTCTTCTCTGACCATCACACATGTCTATATAAATAGATATATGTCTGGATATGACTTATATTAAGTAAGCAAAACAAATGGAAGCAAAGCAACAAACGCATTTTGTTCTCGTACATGGTATATGCCATGGAGCTTGGTGCTGGTACAAGCTACAACCGCTGCTGGAGGCGGCAGGTCACCGTGTCACAGCGTTTGATCTCTCAGCCTCCGGCATTGACCTGAAACACCTAGACGAGCTTCGCACATTTCCGGACTATACACTGCCGTTATTTAACGTAATGGAGTCGATTCCACCAGATGAAAAAGTAGTTCTAGTTGGACATAGTCTTGCTGGCTTGAACTTGGCTTTTGCAATGGAGAAATACCCTGAAAAGATTTCGATGGCAATTTTTCTTGCGGCTATGATGCCTGACACTACACACAGGCCATCCTATGTTTTGGAAGAGGTAAATTTATGTATAATCCTAGGAATAGCTTATTATCCCTGAGGTAGACAATTTTAATAAATTTCACTTTACTTACTTTAATTAACTTGCTTGGCAGTACTTCGCACGGACCCCGTCGGGATCTTCTTCGAACACTCAAACCGCACCATTTGGAAGACCCGAAGATCAACTCGTGTCAGTACTCTTTGGTCCGCAGGACTTAGCATCCGGATTATATCAACGCTCCCCACCTGAGGTAAAAAATATATAGAGTGGAACCAATGGTATAAAAAATTAAAAAATGAAAAAAAGTTAAGGGGAACTAAAGAGATTCTTTATTTTTTAAACGAATAACAATTTTCTTATTTTTACCCTATACCCTGACTGGTTCCCGATCGAATTGATCGGTCCTTTATTTATTAAATTTTTTTTTTCAAGACATTAGTTTATATCCAACATGATGATAATAACACTCCACTACCAGATTTTTCAATTTAACATTTACATTAAATTAGCAAATATAATGCCTGAAATATAAAAAGAAAACAGAAAATCAAATTTTAATGACTGAACTAGCCAAGGAAAAGTTGAGTGGTCAAAATGAAACAGTGCTATAAACTGACTAACAAGTTTTTTTTTTTTAATTCATTATGGTAGGATCTTGCATTAGCAAACACTTTAGTGAGGCCAGGCTCTTTTTTTATGGAAGATTTGTCAAAAAGGAGCCCGTTTTCCAACGACAAGTATGGATCCGTAAAGCGTGCTTTCATTATAGCCGGTGCAACTGAAGCCGAAAATGATTTCTATCGCTGGGAAATTGAAAATTTTGAAGTGCCAATTGTGAAAGAGATGGAAGCGGAAAATACTGATCACATGGCAATGATTTCAAATCCCAACACTCTTTGCCAATATATATTGGATATTGTTGGAAAATAAACCAAATTAATGATCGCTGATGAATTCAAGAATCATTTGTTGAACTTTATTTCAGTCAAGCGTCAACTAATATTTCAATAATTGGTTGAGTAATTTAAGGATTTTTCTTGCATATGTAATAACCACATTTATTTTGATGCATTTCCCTGTGTCCTCTAGTATGTATAAGTTGGAATGTAATCTGCAATAAGTTTTTAAGGCAATAAGAAGTAATTTTTCAGATTATATTTCTCCAAATTATCCAAATAATAGTGCCTTCAAACTGGTTTCAGAGCATTCAAACATTACAGAAATTGTTCATAGAATATTGCAACAGCAACATAACTTGGAAAAGAAAATCATTGCAAATCCAAGTAATCTGGTGTTTCTTATTCCTCGTTTCAATGGAGGAAGATTATAACTATTTAAATCACAATATGAAAGTGACCTGAAATATATGAAGCTTGTAATATTGTTGATAAAGATTTTGAAGATCCAGAGACTGAAGATGGAATGACTAAAGTACAAAGAAATGCTTGTAATGAAAAGAGAGAGAAAGACAGTAAATCCCTTTTCCAGATTTACCAAGCAATTGAAAGACCGATGTTTGAATGAATTACAAAAGCTGAAACTTCAAGCAAGCTCCGAAAATTTTGCGACAGCATACCTAAAAGCCCAAGAACGATTAACCAAGAGAGGGGTGAATTGGTTGTCTAAATCTTTTTCAAAAATAAATGCATGTTTAAGCAATTAAAGTAATTAAGCATGGAAGATAACACAAGAAAAATAATAAGTAGAAGGGAAGAGAAGGTGTAAACGATGTGTTATGGAGGTTCGATCAAACCAATGATCTACGTCCCTCGTTACCATGCTCTCCATCATGAGCAAGGTCTTTTACAACGTTGAGTTTCTGGTGACTTACAACCAATGAGCACTGATCCTTCTACAACGTTGAGTTTTTCGGGACTTCAACAATGCACACAATCCAAAACAAGAAAAATCAAAATTATAAGTGAAAGCGTTTCTCTTAATAAATGATATGAACATAATTAAGTATCAAGAGAGAAGTAGGCACAACACTTTAATAAATTGCAAAGAATATAGTTCACGTGTTGGTTTAAAAACTTTAATTGAGATAAATGATTTTTGCAAGTTTTCATGTGGACTCCTCAGTGAATATGTCTGTAATAACTAAATCAATGCATAACGCTATGAAACAATTTGAGTTGATTGCTAAGACACATTCAGAATTCTCGTCAGATCGTGTAGGCCCAAAAAGAATAGCATGAACATATGAGTTAGATAATTTATCAACCTTTAATTTAAATATTGTGGCACTAATGAAACAAATAGAATTCTTGGTGAAAGCCTAAGTACACGACGTGTATGAGGTCCAAATGAGTTTGGTCTATGAAAACTATGGGCCCAAATATTTTATTAAGGATTGCTTATTACTGGCACCTCAAGATAAAACGGGAGGATTTAGTACAGTGTAATCCACGCCTGTAATAAAATCCATACTTAAAACATACAATCTGGGATGGAAGCAGAATCCCAATTTTAGGTGGTTGAAAGATCAAGATAGTGGTATTCAACTAATCGTCAGTATGAGAAGACAAAGTTTGGGAAGAAGTTTTAGTAGTACATGAAAAAGACCGATAAAATACTTTATCGCATTAAAATAAATGATAAATTCAGCAGCCCTCTATCAAGATACTCAAATTGATCTATAATAGTCAAAAAGACCATATGGTACCTTGCCTAGCAACACCAAAACTAATCTATGGGAGTAATTGTAGGCCAATAACATTCACCAAAATGAGACTCTCGACATCCATAGACTAAGGCAACTACTTTAGTTAAAACATATGTTCCTCCAATTTAGTTCCCTCAAATTCTACAAAAATGTATAGATGAAAAGAGAAAACAAGCCATAACTACGATGACTGGAGGTGCATCTACCATGAACCTATGAGAAAAGCGTAATGAGAAGGACAAACAAGTATTGATTTCTGAATACTTGAAGACCAACTTAAATCAACCAAGGAAGTTGATCAGAAAAGATGGCACGTAGTTGTATAAACTAAGGTACCAAGCCCACTCAATGGTTTTTATGACCCCATTCCTTTTGCTAAAAGATTGTACAAGAAAAAGCACAATAATCAGCTTGTAAAATTTTTGGTGTCCTTTGACGAGTTGCATATGAACATCCCATTCATTGATGATGCAGAAGGATCCGAGTCAAGTGATGCTGATCTGTCAGATAGCATGTTGATGGCACTGAGATATAATGAGATGTCTGATCGACGGAAAGATGGAAAATAAATGCAGTCTTTCCTTAATTGGGGGCAATTTTGACACGTTGTTGGTAATTTGGCCATAACTTTTGCTACAGTTATCAGAATCACTACTACGATCCCAATTTGGAAAGCTATTTTCGGTGTGCACATCGTGTTCGCCAGCTATGCTCAATGAGAATCAATCTCGAGCCCAAAATTCATTGTTTTCCTTTTCAAAATTCAATTTTTAGTTATTTTTTACTATTTATAGCAATATTTCGTTTCCTTTTTTTTTTCTCTATATGTTAGAGAATCAGGATTGAGCCAAATTTTTGGCAACTTGCTTCTTTTGTTTCATATTTTATTTGGGTATGATTTTTGGGATTTTACCATTTTTGGTAAAATTTTCCATATTTTCGAATTTTCCTAGCTATTTAACCTGACTTGTGGGTTAATTTTCGTCATTCTACATTGATAATAAAATTGAGTTAATTACAGATAATTTCTCTATGTTTTCTGAGGCATTTTCATTCGTACTTCTCTTCGTGAATTATCTGTTGCAACGAGCCTGTAGGATAATCGCTATCTTGCCCAGCGTCAGTTGGTATCAGAGCATCCGCATCTTTCTGGGTGAACTTCTATCAGTTGCAATGGTTGGTAGACGTGGACGTGGTCGTGGTCATCGAGGGTAGGCTCCGATTATGGAGGTCCTACATCGTGATCGCAATCGAGTTCTCTGGTACGTTACAAGCTGAAGGTATTATTGATTGATTGAATGAAGTGGAGTGAATTTTTGAGTATAAGAAGGTTCCAGATCGTGTCAAGGTAAAATTGATCGCCATCAAACTTAAGGGAAAAGCTTCTGCATGGTGGGAACAATTGAAGCGTTTGCGAGAATAGCAATGCAAGTCTAAGATCACTGATTGGGAGAAGACGAAGAAGAAGATGAAAGGGCACTTTCTTCCTTTCAACTACACTCAGACTTTATTTCAGCAGCTCGATTCACTGAGGTAAGGTACGAGATCAGTTGATGATTATATGGAGTTCTATCAATTGGTATCCCAGAATGATTGATCTGAGATGGAAGAATAGATAATTGCACGGTATGTGGGGGATTAAGGCAGCCTATGCAGGATGTTCTAAGCCTTCATTCATTGTGGACAGTGTCTGAAGCATACCAGCATGCACTTATCGTGGAAAAGCAGCAAAATAGGAGGCTAGTGGTCAAAAGTGAAAGTAGTCGGCCAGTTCATCCTCAAGCTTCTCGTTCTGCCTATTAGCCCCCGGGACAATCCTAACTTAGGCATTAAGTGTTTCAAATGTGGTGAATAGGGACATAGAGTGACTGATTGCAGGAAGCTGGCTGGTTAGAAGAATAAAAATTTTCTGATTGAAGAGAATATGATAGAGGAGTTCAGGGAGGTTGGTAAGCCTATATATGATGATTGTGAAGATCATGATGTACTGTATGGAGATGGCCAAGAGACTCTAGTCCTTTGCAAAGGTTTGCTTACTCCCAAGGGCGATTCAGGGGACAATTGGTTGAGGACCAATGTTTTCCACATGACTTGTCTCCAAGTTGATCATTAATAGTGGTAGTTGTGAGAACGTAGTGTCGGAAAAGGTTATCCAGAAATTGCAAATGAAGACAGATCGTCATCCTAAGCCATACAAATTATCATGGTTGAAAAAGGTAGTGAGGTAACAGTAGAAAATGGTGTGTAGTGTTTTTTTCGATTGGAAAAAAAATATTTTGATAATGCTTGGTGTGATGTGGTATCTATGAATGTGTATCATGTATTGTTGGGACGACCTTGACAGTATGATCACAACGCTATTCATGATGGGTGGAAGAATACTTATTCCCTTAGCATCAAAGGAAAGAAAACTATTTTGGCACCTCGTAGGGAAGAAACCACCCCTGCCCCAATAGTTAATAATAACAACATGCTTTCTATGTCCAGATTCTTAGTAGAGGTTGGGCATGAAGAAGTGGTATATATTGCCCCATGAGAATAGTGAGGTGAAGGAGGATTCAAATTTACCAGCAGAAGTGCAACAACTGCTAATGGAGTTTTCTGACTTGATGCTAGAGGATCTTCCTTTAGGGTTACCACCTATGAGGGATATTCAACATCAGATCGACCTTCTTCCAAGTTTGAGTCTGCCAAATTGACTAGCATATCGCCTCAGTCCCAGGGAAGCTGAAAAGTTACAGCAACATGCAGTAGAATTATTGGAGAGAGGCTACATTTGTGAAAGTATGAGTCCATGTGCAGTTTCTACTCTACTAGTACCGAAAAAAGATAGGTCGTGGCTGATATGTGTTGACAGCAAAGCAATTAACAGGATTTTAGTAAAGTACAAGTTTCCAATTCCCCGTCTGAATGACATGTTAGATCAGTTGTCCAGTTCTAAGGTCTTCTAAAAAATTGACCTTAAAATGGGATGCCACCAAATTGAAATCAGGCCAGGAAATGAGTGGAAGACGGCGTTTAAGACATAGAATGGATTGTACAAGTGGATGTTCATGCCCTTTGAACTATCTAATGCACCCAGCACTTTTATGAGGTTTATGCATCAAGTTTTATGACCTTTCATGGGGAAGTTTGTGGTAGTCTACTTTGATGACACACTTATTTATAATCCAACGTGGGAGTCACATTTTGATCATCTTCGTGCTATTTTTTATGTAATGAGGACGGAGCACTAATTTATCAATCAGAATAAATGTGTTTTCTTTACAATTTCTGTAACTTTTTAGGGTATTGTTGTGTTTACTGATGGTGTTCATGCAGATCAATCCAAAATTGAGGCATCTTGAATTGGCCCAAGCCAAAAGGCTTGCACAATGTCAGAAGTTTTCATGGATTGTCATCCTTCTACCGTCAGTTCATCAGAAATTTCAGCACTCTGATTGCTTTTATCACAGAGTGCCTTAAAGGACATAATTTTCAGTAGACCGAG